CAATTCTCTCTCCTTCAGTCTCCACTCACCAGGTGGATCATCCAGAGTCCAGACTAGTCCAGAGACTGCTACTCCACATCTGTGTCCATCCCATTCCCTTCCACCACACACAAGATCACTCGGCTCCTGGCAACACTACTGAGTTGGTGGCGAATGGAAATTACATCATCACGGCTCTCATGCTCAGGCACTCACCTCCCTCCACCAGACTCACACCCCAACAACGCTGCCCAAAGTAGTGGAACATCAGATGGTCTCTCGCTTGGCATGCACAGTTCTAAGTTGATCCATGCCACAGCAATAACAGCTATTTTTAACTGGCATGCTTTTCCCATCACTGGCATGTGTCATATGGGCATGAAAAAATTGCTGTTTTTTACTGGCTGTCCATAAAAACATGGACATTTGGTAACACTGATGGCCATTCATATTTGCTATGTCATTTATGAATGAATACCAGGGGAGGAATTTACTAAAACTGGAGCGTACAAAATCTGGTGCAGCTCTGCATAGAAATGAATCAGCTTCCAGGTTTTATTGTCAAAGCTTAATTGAACAAGCTGAAATTAGAAGCTGATTGTGATTCTGAGTGCTCCAATTTCAGTAAATCACCCACAATGTGATCAACACTGAACATGTGCTGTTCATTTAACCTCTCTAGCAGTATGATTATGTCAATATTTCTGTGCTCAAAGCGGTACATTTTTTTGCATGGAAATATGTTTTTTCTTTATTGTAGGCCTGTAATTTGTAGGAATAACTCACTGAAATCTGTCCAAACAAGAGCCTAGTAAACATCTCGGGTATGATAAAATTTAAAACACGAAATCATAAACTCTAATATAATAAATAATCATAAAAAAATAATAATATAATAATGAATTTAATTCAATAATATAATCAAACCTAAAACACTGAAATTTGAAATATAGCGCCAAGTTCGCACATCACTGATCTTATGATCTTAGTCGCAAAATAGTTTTCAGTGCCTGATGATGAATTTCCCCACAAATCATCACTCAATTCTGAAAGTGGTTCTAATTTACTATCGCTGTTCTCTAGCTGGTCTAAAACTGCTTTTGACCTAAAGGGACGCTTTTTGGACGCCATGGACGTTTCTCAGTTTCAAGGCAGAAAGAATGGTAAAAATGAAGGCAGTGCACAGGACAAAGCAGTAGGGACAAAATGTATGTGAAATGCTTTGATACAGCAGTGTTTTACTATGTGATTTTAGTGTATTGAGTGAATGTCACTATTAAAATTTTTTAATCTCTCGCCGGACATCGCAGGAGTGCAGGACAAGGTAAGTGAACCAGGGATCCCAAAGCAACACTGCAGGGTATTCCCGAGTGTAGCTCGGGGTTACCACTTTTGGTACTGAAAGTTTTCCCCGAGCTACACTCGGGAATACCACCAGGGAGGTTAAGACAGGCATGGTATTGATAAATTTGACATGTCATATTTACTGATCCTTTGCTCTGACTTCGTGAAGACAGATCCTCACTGCAGGGTGCCAACATATTTATGCCCTGTACAACCCACTGCCTCCACTGATTAAAGTGTGTGTTGGGGGGGGAGGCTCAGCAGGTGCAGGGCAGATTGAATTTATTTGATGCCCTCCTGTCACTGGATCAACCCAACAGTCAATGGCCCATTCTTCCCTGCACAGCTCACTTTCTCATCTGCTGTGGGTGGGGAGAGAATTGGGGAGATAAGAATACACAGGGGGAAACTGGATTGTACAAGGGACACAGCATTCTATTTTTTAACAGGTGGTGGCTGCTGTAACAGCAGGAGGTTGACTCTTTGAATAAAATGCTATGATAAGTGGCTTATTAGTGACTGATCATAGCTATTAATTTATTCAACATTGTCAAGAGAAACCCTCTGATATAAATTCATCACCGCTGTAGTGGGGAGAAAGCGGGCAAGTGGGAAACCCAAAGGACATACCACATACTGACCTGGCCAACAAGAAATGGTTCTGTAGGTCCATATACTGTATGTCCATGGCAGTGAAGGGGATAAAAGCAGTCCACAAATAATAGATAAAAATATCAAAAGCTTTGCTAATCTACAGTTATTGTAATCTAAAAATAATATTGATCCAGCCTCATATTAGCCTAAGGTATTTAGATATTTAAAAAAGTACATTGAATTTGAATTTGTGTGGCTTTGCAGTGGTACAACTACTGTTGCTAATTCTGCAAAAAAAAAAACAAAACAATACAGTTCACCAGATTGGCTTGGTCTTTCTAAACAGATGGGCTGGCTACTCTTGTATGGTGTCATTGACCATAGGCATGACCATATTTGACTAATGCCATCACTCAGCACTCCCTTCTGTTTGTTGGCATACAGCAGATGCTGGGGATCTGTAATTTGCGAGAGGAGTTGTAGTGAGTGAACATCATTGAGTGGCACATGGATGGGTCTCTGATTTTAAGGGGGCTTCCAAATTTTGATAAGCCCCCACAGACCCCACATAACTTTTGGGGACAGAATATGAGGGTGAGAACCTTGTCCCCTCTACATTGTAGACAAGATGCCTTACAAGGGGGAATACTTGCAAGGCCCGGTATGGTTCAGAAGTAAGAACATACACTTGGTTGGTAAAAGTCTTTTATGAACCCTTAAAAGGACCCCCACACTATTTTTTGTTTTCTGGTACTGTCCCTTTAAAAAAATGGCACAGGGTCACCTTTAAAATAACATAGCAGACCTTGCTTCTCATTAACAATAAAGTGAAAAGTGAAAAAAAGACCCGCACCATGAAAAAAGTAGAAAATAAACATGCCACCTGATGTAAACCCAAAGTTAATCACATCATCTAGGGATGTAGATAGATGCAACTGAAGATTCCCGGCAAAACCTCCCTACCTTGCATGGCCTTTTGTCCCTAATTTTGTTTTCACATTCTGTTCCCCAAAAAGGGGCACACACAGTAAGTCTTCAGAGGTAAATTACTGGAATCTGAAAGCCACCTTTAGACTAAAGGGGTCCTCCAGATATCCCTTCCAGGTAAATGAGTGTGGAGTGTAATTTGCGAGAGGAGTTGTAGTGAGTGAACATCACATCATTGAGTGGTACATGGATGGGTCTCTGATTTCTTTAAGGGGGCTTCCAAATTTTGATAAGCCCCCACAGACCCCACATAACTTTTGGGGACAGAATATGAGGGTAAAAACCTTGTCCCCTCTACATTGTAGACAAGATGCACTTGTTTACAAAAAAAGTGAAAATGAAAATAGAAAACATCCATACCATGAAAAATGATCTTTATTAGAGAAAAAAATGTCCATCTCAATCATGTTTTCCAGCAATGTAGATCCACCTCATTCATTCATGACCCTCCAACGCATTGACCCGCTTTTCCCTATGATATTTACCTACCACTACTCCTCTTACAAATGACAGATACCCAGCTGGTGTCTGTATATTAACAAACAGGCTAAGGATTCTGAATAATGTCACTGGCCAAATTTGGTAAATTAAGTTTCTCAGGATCCCTGAGTGTTTATTTTAAGCAAAAGTCCACAGAAACCTGTCATTTAGTAGCTGTAGTGCTACCCTAGCAGCTATTTGTAAACAAGGTATATCATATTGCTCCATTACCTCATGTGCAGAATTGAGGCATCCCAAAAGGATGTTATTTTAAGGATTTGTATATTTTTACTGTTGCACTTAAAGCCGCGTAAAAACAATGCCTGCTAAACAGTATTTTAAAAAAATTAATTGGTCCCCCCCATGAGAGTGCCTAGATGATCATGCCCTTTTTTCAACAAAAGCTTCGAAATTGGTTTTGAAAAAAGCCAGAGAAAAATAACAAGATTTAGTTCCCATATACCTTAATAGGGTTCAGTCCTATGTTTCAGGTTAGCAGACTTTTTGTTGGGTTCACCAAACCTTTGCCAACTGAATTTTACCCAGTTTGCACATCCCTACTTATTTTCTGCCTGCTTCATTCATCAGCAAACAGCGCCAACCTGGCTGAAAACTACTCCCTTTCTATATTGCATGTTTCTCACTATTTGGTCTCCCCACACCATCCTGTGATAGTCTGGATAGACTGGTATATGCACCTATTCCATTGGCTTTTATTTGCCTAACTCCTAAGAGGTACCAAAAAAGTGCAACCCTAAGACAAGAAAAAAAAACAGATTACTAAGTAAGCTACACTTGCAATTTGTTTACAGGTTGCTCTTGGAACTATACCCTCAACTGATGGCAGTATAAAGTCCTACTGTCTTACAAGAGTGTTTCCAACCGCCTTGCAACAAATTCACCTCTAGCAATGATGCAGTCTAGTATACAGTTTAGGAAGCAAATAGAAACCAAAGACATTAATTTCAGAACCTCAGCCCTGATCATAACAGCCTGAACAACATTTCTATTCACCTCCCAACAGCTTTCTTCTTTAAGAAATAGTAAATGTGGTCATCATTCAAAAATAGCCTGAATTTGCTATTTAGCTCAATCTCAGAGAGATTTAGGCAGACTCAAGGTATGCAAAAGAATGAAAATTGTTACTGTATGAGCACAGAAGTACATAAGACCCTGCTCAGGCTGAACAGAGTGGAATCTGGAGCTGGGACACATTGCATAACTTCCAATCACTATCTCATCCAGGAAACTCCTCACTTTATTTTTTTATTTTAATTGATGCTGGAGACCGAGAATGAGCTCAGGTGTGTTTGTTGAGAGCTGGAATGCTTCTGCCACTTAAGACTGGCTGTCCATAGTGACAGCTCTCTGGCAGGAAAGCCCAGGGGGGTTTGAACTCTTGTCTGAACTCATCTGAAATCAACCCTACTGGGGACTGATTTACGTAAGTTATGCTGGGGATTGCATTACTTATTTTTTTTATTCATGCTGGACTTGGGTTTAAGGGAATTTAGAGAGAAAAAGGCTTAAAAAACTCAAGAGGAAAAAAAAAAAAACAATCTTCTGTTTAATGATAAACAGGGAACACAGATGTCAGGAGGGGGATTAACTAAAACTGGAGCAGACAGAATCAGTTTGTTCATTTAATCTTTGCAAATTAAAAGATAGACGCTAAGTGGGTGTCATAAATAGCTGTTCCAGATTCTGGCTGCTTCAATTTTAGCAAATTCCCCTCATGGTATTTTATATTGTTGTCCAGATTGGCAACTTGGACAGAGGTAGTGTCTTTTTGTAATGAATAAGGGATCCCTGTGAAAATTAGAAGAGAACCACTTATATGGAGTTTTCTTAACATATACGATAAATCTGATTTATCTGATAAAATAATGTACTTATTTCCAGTACTTTTACCAGTGGACAAGAGACATTTCCATGTTACCTGCTATTGTTCAGTAATTGATGGTTAGATCAGGAGAAATATAAATGCAGCATTGCACGCACTGATGCCTAACACAATGTGATAAAATGCCAGCACTGTAATAAGATCTCTACTTCTTTTTTGTAGACTTTGAAAAGATGAAAAATAATTGTATATTAAAATGCTGATTTTGACTTTTTGCCTTTGACAGGGTTATCTGTAAAATGTACATTATAGCCATTTGGATAGAAATACAACATAACTATAATTTTCCTTCTTTTATGTTAGAGTGAGATAGAAGACCATGTCCCGGGGGTAACATTTATCAGCAGTTTTGTAGCTTCATCACTTGTGGTATAGGTATACAGGAATAATTTACAATATTATCAGCTCATCAATTTGGCCTTTGCTTACGTAAGTTTTTATTAGCATTGTTGAGTGAATAATAGGCCTTATCATTGCACACAGCAAGAAGAATAATTAAGATGATGTTCAATATAGATGTTATGTGCTGGAAGACTTTAAATAGTTGATTGCTATTCAATAGATGGATGGGCAAACATTGTAATTCTGCAAAAACAAAAAATTAGAATTTATTCCTGAATACAATTAAGAGTATTGTGTTTTGTTATGGCTTTTGGCTTCAAGTGAAATGTATCTGTGAGAAATGATGTGGTGGTAATACTCATCATTTGTGGCATGTTCAATCAGTTCTGTTTTACATAGCGGTATAAGAGGTTAAAATCTCTCTAATTCTGTGTAGTGATTGGGTAGGATTGGTGATTATTAAGATAATGTCATTCACAAATAGACTAAATTTATGCTCAATACTATGGTGTGTAGCCTCCCTGGTGGTATTCCCAAGTGTAGCTTGGGGTAAAGTTTCAGTGCCACAAGCGGTAACCCTGAGCTACACTCGGGCTTACCATGCGGGGCTGCTCCGGGATCTGTTCTTCACTTACCTTGTCCTGCGCTCCTGCGATGTCCCTCCTGCAGTGTCCCCGGCAATATCCTCCGGCGAATGCCGGCATCTGTCATCTGGGTTCCGTCCCCTGCGAGCGTCGGGACATACGGGGACGGAACGGCGGGAAATTTGAAATTGACAAAAAGTGACATTCACTAAAATTACATAGTAAAACATTACTGTATCAAACTATTTCACATACATTTTGTCCCTAGTGCTTTGTCCTGTGCCCTGCCTGCATTTTTACTGTTCTTTCTGCCCGGAAACTGAGAAACATCCATGGCGTCCAAAAAGCGTCCCTTTAGATCAAAAGCGGTTTTAGACCAGCTAGAGAACAGCGATAGTAAATCAGAACCACTTGTAGAATTGAGTGATAATGATTCATGAGGAAATTCGTCATCAGACACTGAAAACGATTTTGCGACTTTGCTCAGTGGTGTGCGAACTTGGAGCTCTATTTCAAATTTCAGTGTTTTTGGTTTGATTATATTATTGAATTAAATTTATTATTATTATATAATTATTTTTTATGATTATTTATTAAATTATAATTTATGATTTTGTGTTTCAAATTGTAACATACCTGAGATGTTTACTCAACTCTTGTTCGGGCAGATTTCAGTGAGTTATTCCTGAAAATGACAGGCCTACAATAAAAAAAATACATATTTCTATGCAAAAAAAGTACCACTTTGAGCACAGAAATATGGACATAATCAGACCGCAAGGGAGGTTAATACCCATGCACAATGGGTCTTCTCGGATTTTTATCACAAGAGGCTCAATGAGTTGTGCAAATATGATAGGTGATTGCGGGCATCCCTATCGAGTACCATTTGTAATATCAAATGAATTTGACAGCATACCATCTGTAAGAACCCTGGCTGATGGGAAGGAGTGTAATGACATAATGGTCATTTGTATCCATCTTATCATACCAAATTTTTGCATTAATCCCCAGTGGATGCGATCGAACACCTTCTCTGCATCAAGTCATAAGAGCAGAGAAGGTGTTCATTGGCCCTATAGATCATGAATTAACCATATTAAACATCTAGTGGCATCTGGGGCCTATCAACCCAGTACAAACCCTACTTGATCTTGGTGCACCAAGGATGGATGGAGTGGGAGCAGTCTGCGGGCTATTATCTTAGCGTATAGTTTCACATCAGTATTAATAAGAGTTATAGGTCTATAATTTTGTACTAGTTGTGGATTTTTACCTGGTTTAGGAATAGTCGTTATAGTGGACTGTAACATTTCTTTTGGCAGACAACCAGAGGAGGTAGCAGAGTTGAAGAGGCTAGCTAAGTGTGGGGAGAGGACATTGACGAAGTGCTTGTAATATTCATTGGTGTAATCATTGTTACCCAGAGATTTGTTGAGTGGTAGAGAACGAATCACTGATTCAATTTCTGTAGTATGGAAAGGTTCCAAGATGTCCTGTAATTAAGTTGAAGAAAGGACTGGGAGCTTGATCGATTGTAAGAATGTTTGTATAGCATTAGGGGAAGGTCTCTATCATTTTTAAGGTTATAGAGGGATTGGTAGAAATCTGCAAATGTGTTAGCTATGTTCAATGGATTTGACATAGGTGGATTAGAACTCTGTAGGCGAATTGTCTGAACGTTGGTTTTAAGGTGTTGATATTTAACCGATCTGGCTAAAAGGGATCCTGCTTTATTGCCTAGAGAGTAGTATTTGGCTTTCATTTTTTTAGGCTGAGGTCATAGTGGAATAGTAAAAGAGAGCAAAGCTTTTCTTTCTCATCCAATAGGGAAGAGAAGTTAGTTTCAGATGGGTTATTTTTGTAAATATCCTCTTTAAGTTTAATAGAAGCCAATACCTCTTCAATCTGGCACCTCATGCGGGTGAGTACATGAGAATTCAATTTTCTAAGAATCCCTCTCATAAATGCCTTGTAGGTGGCCCACAAGACACTTAAAGAGACATCAGGCGTGCTATTAGTTAAAAAAAAAGAGAGTGAGCTTCCATAATGACTTTCCTGTAGTCAGGGTCCATCAATAGCATGGAAATTCAGCCTCCAGAGGTTAGAATTAGAGGGCCTGTCAGGTGTGCTTATCGTGTTGGTAACTGGTGCATGATCTGACCACGTTATTGATGCTATTGTTCAGGAGGAAATGTGCTGTAATGTCCATTTATCTGTGAGGAAGAAGTCTATTCTGGAGTACAAAAGTTGAGATGGAGAGTAGTATGAATAGTCTCTTTCTGATCCATGGTAACATCTCCAAACATTGTATAGGTCATTGGTATGGAGGAATTGGTTCAGACTGTAGTTTGGAGATCGTTTGCAGAAGATGAATCCAGTTGAATGCTTCCCACTATATTGAAGTCACCTCCTATAATAAGGCGACCCTTTCTAAGAGGGGTAAGCTTAGTAAGTAGATGTTTGCAGAATTGGTTTTGACTGCAGTTTAGACCATATACATTGACAAGTGTATAATAGATATCGTTGATAAGGCATACTAGAATGTGAAAATGACCTTGGAGGTGAGCGTAGTCAGAGGTGAAGTGAAAGTTAATTGAGTCTTTGATTGCTGTTATGACTCCATTTATCTTTTTTTGGTGAGATGCTAGGTAATTTGTAGAGAAATTCTTCAGCTTGAAGGGGGGCATCTTAGATGAAGCAAAGTGAGTCTCTTGGATAAAGATGTAGAGCATGGGCTTTCTTGGTTAGTGATTATATTTTGGGTGAGTTAAGGCCTCTGGCTTTGAGTGATATTATATTAAGCATCATTTAGACATATAAATTTGCGATGAGGTCAGTGCAGATTGGACTTTGAGGGAAAGTTGGGTGTCTTGTCACATGTATGAAAGTTAGTGCATCATATCGGGTGAGCAGAAGGTATAATCTGGGGTACCAGTGGAAAGCAATGTAGAGGATATGGTCACTCATAGGCAGGGGTTGTGAAGAAGACAGAAGTATAGCGTACAAATGTGGAGTATTATAGAATGGTAGAAACAATATAAAACATAGGAGAAAAATATATATAAAATAATCTTGAGGAAAAATACAAGCGTCATAGGTAGCCTGGATGGCTACTGTCATCCTGGGGCAGTATAGAAACCATGAACCATGACAACAGTACATTGTCACATTGATGTGACTGAGCTGAACTAAAGTTCATTAGAGGTAGGCAAAGGCCATACAGCAACATGTGTAGGTAGATTTCAGTTGGGGGACCGACTAATAGTGGATCAGTATTCAGGTCCAATCACCCTCCATTTGGTGCAGTTGGTGTGGGGTATGGTGGCAGTCATCCACAGGTAGAATATTCCATTCTTTAAGGAGGTCAATGCCATCCTCTAGATTCCTGATTGAAAAAGATTTGCCCTGATTTTTTATAAGGAGTTTGGTAGAAAAGCCCCATTGATATCCTATATCACTATTTTGTAAGGCTTTGGTGATTGCGATTAGTTTCTTCCTGTTAAGGAGTGTCACCTTGGAGAAGTCCGCATATAGTTTGACACCTGCATGGGAAGTGGGGAGTGCTGAAGGGTTCCTTGCAGCTGCCATTAGCTTTTCTATGATATGATAAAAGGGAACCCTTACCAGCACATCTCTTGGGACTGAAGCTGGAAAATATGAAGGTCTGGGGATTCTATGAGCTCTATCAAGTGCTGCTTCAATTGCACTGAGTGATAGGATGAGGTGTTTCATCAGTTGTTGTAGGTAAGGTAGCAGGGCGTCAGGAGTGACAGAATCTGGAATTTCGCAAAATGTAATGTTATTTCTTCTACAGCGGTCTTCTAGGTCTGCCATCTTGTTCTTTACTGTAGTTGTAGGATCTCAGACTCATGATCTGCATGAGCATCGACCACACTATAATGGGCTGAAAACATGTTGGTCATTTTGTTTTTCGATATGTTGTAGGCATTTGGTATGGTCAAAAATAGCATTTGATAGTGGGGTTATCACATTAGTTTTATCATTGTGTAGGATCTGCCTTAAAGAAAGAAGCATATTTTTATGGCCAATTCAGGTACAGACTGATCAGAGGCTGGAAACTCTTCAATGGCAGATTGTAGTTGTAGTGTAGGGTAGGGGTATAGGAGATATCTGAGGAGTGTGGAGCTAGATTTAGCAGGACTACAAGATGTAGGTGAAAGTGGGGGGGGGGGATTCACTCGGGTCACCGTCGTATAAAGGTACCAGGAGCCTGGGGCCCGATGTGTATGCGGCCTGCTCGGCTGCAGGGACTGAGAGTCCGCTCTGCATGGTGCTGGCGCCATCTTGGAATCTGGAATCCTGGGCTGGGTAAAAGTAGATGAGTCTCTGCAGCTGGGCAGGAGATTTGTGCAGCCATGGCATCTCGCTGGAGGGTGTGGGGGATTGTACCCCTTGATTCAAGGTGTCAGAGTTCTGGTGGTAGCTATGTAGCCGTTGCTGTGGCGGAGGTGGCAGCGGAGCTGAATTACATAGCGGCCATCTTGGGAGCCAGCCACGTATGCGCCCCCCTCCTACAAGCTTTAACCAGTGCTTGGCCAGACAATGAAAGAAGTCACAGGACTGATCTAACTGCTGATGAAAAAAGGGAGACTGGATATAGGTTCTGAGTTTAACAACACTTTAAGATAAAACTTTTAGCTGGATATACAGTTTAATCTAATTTCTACTTTGTATTTCTTTATCACTTTTTTTCTTGAAGACTCAAAGGAGTTGATTTACTAAAACTGAAGCACTCAGAATTTGGTGCAGCTGTGCATGGTAGCCAATCAGCTTAAAACAAAAGATTTTCTAGCAACACTTACCAGCCAACCTGCAAAACAACCAATTTGGCCCTGTCTAACAGTTTGCATTAAAACAGAGGGTTATGTTTGCACACATTTGCAAATACATGCATAAGCCACAGTCCCACGTCAAGGGTCCTCTGTATACTGTGGACTTAACTAAAATTTCCAAAGCCCTCCATAGTAGGAGCACATGCATCAATTGATAGATTAAGGGCAGGTGTGCCTGCAGGAGCCATCCCTCCTTAAAGGTACAGGGATCAGGGGTGGACTGACCATTCGGGCATTGCCCGAGGGCCCAGCATCAGTAGGGGGCCCAGTGAGAGGCTCACTTGGCACAATTCACTAAGCGGTAAGATACCACATAGCAATTTAAAAAAAAAAAAACATTTGAATTCACTAAAAAAGGTTACTAAAATACCGCATTATTTATTTTATCGAGTCGTGCAGTATTTTAGTAGTGAAAAACAAACGTCAATGTTTCAGCTGTCAGCGGGGTTCCCCACTGACAGCTGAGTGTAAAAGAAGGAATTAAAAAAATAATTTAAAAAATGGCGTGGGGTCCCCCCCTCCATCCATACCAAGCCCTTCAGGTCTGGTATGGATTTTGAGGGAA